TGTTCTGGTGAGTATAATAGCTCCCTTCAGACATTTTCATGTAAACACTGCCTTTTCAGAGAGACCCGGCAGACCCGCGCGGCTCTGGAAATAATGTGAGTTTTAAACTTTTATAGGGGGGCTAAGGAGGGGCAAGCCACCTAAATGGTGGGTTTAGCACTACAGGGTCAGGAATACATGTTTGTGTTCCTGACCTTATAGTGATCCTTTAAGATACAAGCCAATTTATCCTCTGCTAGAGATTACGGAGCATTCTTTCTAAATCATAAACAACATTTATTTTAGTTAATCAAACAAAAATGTATATGTTTTATAAAATGTTTTATTACCAGCAGTTTGGTACTTTAAATTAATTCAACAATCGAGGTAGAGATTTTAATAGGATGTAGGTAAGACAAATCAGCCCTACCTTAGGGTGTCCGTAGGCACACCTTGCACACATCTTTGTTTCCCTCTGTTTGTTTTACGCCGTCATTCTTCCTTTAATTTCTCCTTCTTTTAACCCATTACTTACCAGTTCTTCGGCAAATCACTTTATACCAACACATACAAGGAATGTCAATGGTTCTATAAAGAGTTAAAAAAAAAACACCTCAAAATAATTCTTGTGTCCCTTTAATAATTAACAAGGAGCTTGCGTTGCAAAATATATATAAATATATATATATATTTGGTGTAGAGAAGATGCATGTAATCTAAAAATACCTTAAGCATATTTATTGCACTAAACTGTTCCTTTAAAAAAAAAAATGGTGTTTAGTAAGCTGAAAAATGCACTGATGAGACCTCACTTGGAGTATTGTACGCAGTACTGGAGACCATATCTTCAGAAGGATATTGATACATTAGAGAGGGTTCAGGGAAGGGCTACTAAACTGGTTCATGGATTGCGGGATAAAACTTACCAGGAAAGGTTAAAGGATCTTAACATGTATAGCTTGGATGAAAGACGAGACAGGGGGGATATGATAGAAACATTTAAATACATAAAGGAAATCTACACAATAAAGGAGGAGACTATATTTAAAAGAAGAAAAATCACCACAACAAGAGGACATAGTATTAAATAAGAGGGACAAAGGTTTAAAAATAATATCAGGAAGTATTACTTTACTGAGAGGGTAGTGGATGCATGGAATAGCCTTCCAGCTGAATTGGTAGAGGTTAACACAGTAAAGGAGGAGACTATATTTAAAAGAAGAAAAACTACCACAACAAGAGGACATAGTCTTAAAGGAACACTATTGGGTCAGGAACACAAACATGTATTCCTGACACTATAGTGTTAAAAACACTATGTAGCCCCCCTAAATATAGTAAAATCTTACTTTTATTCCATTTTTCTGCTGTTGGCTCTGCACCAATTTGCCTCCTTGGCTGATCTAATCAGTAGTAATATTCTGAGCCAATCACAATGCTTCCCCATAGGATTGGCTGAGACTGTCAAGGAGGAGATCAGAGACAGAGCCAGCACAAGCCAAACACAGCCCTGACCAATCAGCATCTTCTCATAGAGATACATTGAATCAATGCATCTATATGAGGAACGTTCAGTGTATCCATGAATTGGGTGGAGACACTGAATGTCACTGCCCTAGGAAGCACCTCTAGCAGTCATCTGAGGAGTGGCCACTGGAGGTATCCCTAGGCTGTAATGTAAACACTGTCTTTACTCTGCAAAAATCCATCCTGAAGGGAATGATTACACTCACCAGAACAAATACAATAAGCTATAATTGTTCTGGTGACTATAGTGTCTCTCTAAATTAGAGGTGCAAAGGTTTAAAAATAATATCAGGAAGTGGATGCATGGAATAGCCTTCCAGCTGAAGTGGTAGAGATTAACACAGTACAGGAGTTTAAGCATGCGTGGGATAGGCATAAGGCTATCCTAACTATAAGATAAGGCCAAGGACTAATGAGAGCATTTAGAAAATTGGGCAGACTAGATGGGCCGAATGGTTCTTTTTTTTTTTTTATAATTCTTTATTTTAATTGTGCATGAATATGACAATCAGGTTTGCCGCGCCACAATAGCTTGGACAAACAGATTAAGACATTAATATACAGATGAATGGCACGTGAGATTACTGCACATTTTTGTTAAAGCTATTACATTGCAGAACAAGGAAAAACAGTCTAGGCCTACAGTCGCTAGAATATGTGGTGTAATTGTAATGTGTTCAGCTATACCCTG